TGTTCATATTTTGTCAAAATTCCTTTTAGGTCTTGGCTGTGACCCATCATTACAGTCATGGCACCCAAAAAGAACAAGGCCGCTAAGAAGAACAAAGCTGACATAAATGAGATAACAATTCTGGTAGAGGACAGTCCCACCAACAAAATCAATGGGCTCAACACTCTCCTGGAAGGTGGAAATGGTTTTAGTTGTATCTCAACAGAGGTCACTGACCCCGTCTATGCACCCAACCTCTTGGAGGGTCTTGGCCACATGAGGCAAGACAGCTTCCTCTGTGATCTGACTGTAGCAACCAAGTCCAAGTCCTTTGACGTTCACAAGGTTGTGATGGCTTCCTGCAGTGAGTACATCCAAAACATGCTCAGGAAGGATCCAGCCCTCAAGAAGATTGAGCTCAGTGATTTGTCCCCAGTCGGTCTGGCTACAGTCATCACATACGCCTATTCTGGAAAACTGACCCTGTCTTTGTACACCATTGGTAGCACGATATCAACAGCCATGCTGTTGCAGATCCATTCTCTGGTGAAGATGTGCAGCGAGTTCTTGATGCGGGAGATCAGCGTGGAGAACTGCATGTATGTTGTCAACATCGCCAACACGTACAGTCTGAAAGAGACGAAAGACGCTGCGCAGAAGTTCATGCGGGAGAACTTCATCGAGTTCTCAGAAATGGAACAGTTCCTAAAGCTCACCTACGAGCAGATCAGCGAATTTCTCACAGATGACTCGCTTCAGTTGCCCTCTGAGCTCACAGCTTTCCAGATTGCAGTAAAGTGGTTAGACTTCGATGAGAAGAGGCTGAAGTATGCTCCTGATCTGTTGTCCAGCATCCGCTTTGGAACCATCTCACCCCAGGACCTTGTTAGTCACGTGCAGATCGTTCCCAGGATGATGCAAGATGCTGAGTGCCACCGTCTGTTGGTCGATGCCATGAATTATCACCTGTTGCCATTCCAGCAGAACATCCTGCAATCCAGAAGAACCAAGGTCCGTGGAGGCCAACGAGTGCTGCTCACGGTGGGAGGCCGGCCTGCCCTAACCGAAAAATCTCTCAGCAAGGACATTCTCTACAGAGATGAGGATAGTGTCTGGAACAAGCTGACAGAGATGCCCGCGAAGAGCTTCAATCAGTGTGTGGCTGTTTTGGATAGCTTCCTTTACGTAGCTGGTGGTGAAGACCAGAATGATGCAAGGAACCAAGCAAAACATGCCGTCAGCAATTTTATCAGGTAAGATCCGATGTCCTTACTTCAAAAGGATAGTTCACCAAAAAAATTATGAAAATTTGCTGTTAATTTACTCTCCCTCAGGCCATTGAAGATGTAGGCAACTTGTTTCTTCAGTAGAACAGTAAAGAAGAGTTTTAGGTGAAACTGTTGTCCTTGGCGATTCATAAAATGCACATCTGTGGCTGCCGGTTTTTGAGAGTCAAAAAACATATACAGAGAAGACCAAATCAATACCTGTGGCTCCTTTGAAATTTTCAATACATTGAGGTCCTATGAAGCGAAACGATCAGTCTGTGCAAGAAAATTAACATTATTTACAACATTATTACCTTTAATCCACAACCTGGCAACTGGTTCTTATTGCAATAACGACTGTCTGGAGTGCAAACTTTCTCACATAATGAAGTGGGCGCAAACTCACACATAAACTGATGACGCTGTTTGTTTACAACGGAGAGCGAGGACGTGTGTGTTAGAGTTTCCGTCAAATTATACTTACCTGTGCTTATCCTGGATGCTGGAACCAATTTAAAAAAAAGATTAAGTTTGCATGCGTGATCCCATTCGGGAAGTTTGACTTTCACAGATTTCTGACGTCTGATCCAGATCGATTCTACCTCTGTTGTCATTGCATGACACTTAGAACATGAACACCAACACGTCTCATGAGTCCGAGATGGTCCTCACTGCAGAACACAAGATCCAGGGGGCGTGGTTGGATCCAGATCAAACTCCTCCCACCTTACATATACCTAAACCTACCCGTCTCCACCCCCTGATCCCTAAACCCACCCATCTCCACCCCTAAACCAACCAATCTCCACACCCTAGATGTGGATCCAACCACGCCCCCTGGATCTTGTGTTCTGCAGTGAGGGGCTACTGAAGAGGCTTGTGCTGGTTGTGCCGCTAATGCCACTGCGTCGTCCGTCTCTCCCAGTTCTTGGTCGGAATATTCTGGTTTAAACAAGTAGGGCTGTGCATAAAATTCCATGTCATTCCTCTTTCAGATCGAAATCATCAACCACTGTAAATTTTATGTAGTGAGATTTAGACACTGCTGGTGAAGCTCTGCATACGAGTCCTCACTCTCCATAGTAAACAAACAGCATCATCAGCTTACTTGTGAGTATGCGAAGATCGCGCTCCAGACAGTCGTGAACATGCTGAGAACCGTTTGCCCCGGCTGTGGATTAAAGGTAATAATGTTGTAAATGAATAAGGTTCAGTTTCTTGCACAGACCGATTGCTTTGCTTCATAGGACCCCAGTGTATTGTCAGGAGCCAAGGGCATTGATTTGGTCCTCTCTGTATGTTTTTTTTTTTTGAGACTCAAAAACCGGCAGCCGCAGATGTGCAGTGTATGAATCGCCAAGGACAGCAGTTTCACTTAAAAAATCTCCTCTACTGAGGGGGGAAAAAAGTCACCTAGATTTTGGATGGCCTGAGGGTTAGTAAATTACTTGAGGGTAAGGAACTATCCCTTTCAGATAGCTTTATTGTCAAAAGTCCATTGGCATGTATTTTTTCCGAAGCGATGCATCACTTACAAGTATTTCCCTCATTAGATATGACCCCCGATTCAACACGTGGATCCACCTGGCAAACATGATTCAAAAGCGCACTCATTTCAGCCTCAACACCTTCAATGGTCTCCTGTTCGCTGTAGGGGGGCGTAATTCTGACGGCTGCCAGGCATCTGTCGAGTGCTACGTTCCATCCTCTAACCAATGGCAAATGAAAGTGGCAATGGAAGTCCCTAGATGTTGTCACGCTAGCACAGTAATTGATGGCAAGATCTTGGTTAGCGGTGGTTACATTAACAACGCCTACTCTCGTGCTGTATGTTCTTACGACCCATCCACCGATAGCTGGCAGGATAAGAACAGCCTGAGCAGCCCGAGAGGGTGGCACTGTTCAGTGAGCGTCGGAGATCGCGCCTACGTTCTCGGCGGCAGCCAACTGGGCGGACGTGGCGAGAGGGTCGACGTCTTGCCAGTTGAATGTTACAACCCTCACTCCGGCCAGTGGAGCTACGTCGCCCCCTTGCTCACAGGAGTGAGCACAGCTGGTGCTGCCACCTTGAATAATAAGATTCACCTCCTGGGTGGCTGGAATGAGATTGAGAAGAAGTACAAAAAATGTATTCAGGTGTATAATCCCGATATTAACGAATGGACTGAGGATGACGAATTGCCAGAGGCAACGGTTGGTATCTCATGTTGTGTTGTCACCATCCCCACACGCAAAACACGGGAGTCGAGGGCCAGCTCTGTATCATCCGCACCAATTAGTATATAAGCAGCGAGGGATAGTGGGGAAATGTATTTGAGTTGCTAAATGTAATTGACTGCAAATTTTTATCTTGCTGTTTGTTCAAAGTCAACTTTTCTCACAGATGCCAAAATTAATTGTCAGTTCATGGCAATCTCGGAAATGTTGAATGTAAAATCACAACATAAAAACTGACAAAGTTCAATTATGCATACAAATGAACATTTATTTCTATAAGCCACTATGTTTAAAATTGAAGCGATTTGGAAACAACTAAAGATGGATGCATTTCAAAGATGGTTGTGGGAACAGGAAAAGTGAGAGAGATTTGGCTTAGAGGTTTATGGAAAAGGAAATGCATACAAACAATACAGGTTACAGTCATAATTTTCATTGGGAAATTATTTTCCAAGTGGGGCCAATTATACGGTTATGATTTGATTAGTCACTTAATGTGCAAAATGGGGTAATTGCAACATTGCAAACTGTCCACATATATTAGGCATTGCCCTTTGATCACCAAACAATGAAATATGCTTTAAAAAGGCCTGCGGATACTTATTACAGCATTATTCTCCAATGATGCCGTTCTTATTGCACTGCAGACATGTGAGCTTGTAGTTCATATTTATTTAGGATAATATACAAGGGAGCATAGATTACATAGATACCTTGAGAAAGCCAGGTTTTCACATTTCACCTACAACTATCAGGCAGTTTATTTAATCATGTAATACACCAACAAAGCGCTGCTGGCTCTTGGAAAATCAAGCAAGTTAATTATAAGCAGGGTTGCTGGCAGGAGGGATGACTGAGAACAATGTCCTTAGTTCTTAATCATTAGGCCACAGGGAGAAGGGTGACCCAGTTTGACTCTAAAACAGACACTATGATGATTTGGGTGATGATGTGAAGAACACTGAATAGGGCATACAAGGATTTACACTGGTGGCATATTTTGTAAACCGAGCGAATAAATAATTGTGAAAAAAGGTTGGGCCTGAACCGTCTAGAAAAGTATAAAATCTGCTCCGTTTCCTGATGGTTCATGATTTTTTTATATTCTGGTTATAGAATACATTGTATGATAGGAAAAAATGTGACAACTGGACACACTACTGATTTATTACTTTATTAAGGTATTGATTATTTAAGGTAAATCAATGGATTGCTCACAATATACATACCGTAATACATGTCAGATAATAAAGCTCTGCATATTTATTAAATCTTCTTAAGAAATGTTGCTGTTGACATTTTTCTTGGAATCTATTTAGAAAATGACGAGAGAAGAGAGACAGAGAGAGGCACATTTCCTAAATTCATAACTGTTTGTCCAACCAGTGAAAGACACTATTTTTGCATTTCTGTTTGGTGCAGCTAGTGGCACAGAAATAACCGCGTAAAGCACTACAAAAGGCATAGTTCAAACAAAAAAAGAAAATTCTGTCATCATTTACTCACCCTCCACTTGCTCCAAAGCTGTATATAGTAAATGTTTGCTCTTCTGCTGAACACAAAAGAAGGTATTTTGAAGAATATGGGCAACCAAACAGCGGATGGTCCTCATTGATGATTTCCATAGTTTTTTTTTCTCTCTCTCTCTCTATACTATGGAAGTCAGTGGGGTCCAGCAGAAGAAGGAAATTCATACAGATTTGGAAAAAGTCGACGGTAAGTAAATAATGACAGAATGTTCATTTTTGGGTGAACTATTCCTTTACGGTTAGACTTTCAAGTTCACCAAGTACACATAATGGGCGTTATAGAGCTAGTGGCAGCTAACAGACATTATGACAATGCAAAATGCTTAATAATCATGACGATGACAAGGGAATGTATAAGAAGTGACTCCTGACCTAATAACCCCATTTGCTTTTTCCCATTCACATTACTGACATCTTACAGGGTCTAAGTCTATGCGTCACAGGGAAGATTGGTTACTTGTTTATAAATATAAAAACTGAAAATAACAATTAGGGACATTTTTTGTTATTATTTAATGGTTATGTTAGTTATTTAATGGTTATTAAAAAAACTGAAAACTAATTTTAGGGAACGTCCTGTGTAAGTTACTTTATAGCAGCACATCTGCAGCATTTTTAAATGGAAGGTTAGTTACTTGTAGTTATTTGATGGTTATATATATATATATATATATATATGTTATTTTATTGAATTAAACCTAAAAAGAACATTCCTTGGACGTTATTATTTGGTTCTGTATTTCCTGACTTTAGTGTTACACCGAACCCTAACATAATTGTCTTGCTAACCTCTATGAGTTCTTGTATTCTATGTTTAATAAAATAATAATAATAATAATAATAATAATTGTCTTGCTAAATAGCCAGCATATTCCAAATACACGAAATTAAATAATAAAAAATAAAAACACATGATTGTGACCTTCATATAAGAAGAAGAAGGGAAAAAAACGTGTAATGGCCCCATTCCGCCTCTTACAATTTGCATTGTCATGATTACAAAAGCACATTATATCGGCTCGGCTTCCCTCAGCCACACCACAACGAGAGGAAAGGGTTGCTGAGTCATTAGATGACGTCACCGCGTCGGCACGGTCACGTGTCCTCAGTACCAGTAAAGTGTGCGCGAGGAAGGGCTAGACCGACACAGCTCGCGCACTCCGATCGAATATCAGCTGCTCGCAACTCGACACCGCTTTATTCCGTTACAGTCGAGGTGGCGTGAAACCGTAGCCCGTGCTTGACTCGAGACCGCTAGGAAGCACAGAGCGGACACATCCGTGTTTAAAACGAGTCACACAAGGCCTAGCGCGTGCGAGCATTAAAGTGTGAGGAGAAGCTGAAGTCGAAGTCCGTAGCGATACGCGAGGGGTCGCAGGTTTGTGCGATGGGCTTACTGTCACAAGGGTCGCCGCTCAACTGGGAAGAGACCAAGAAACATGCGGACCACGTTCGAAAGCACGGCATCCTGCAGTTCCTCAACATCTACAACAAGGTCAAAGAGCGCCAGAAGGATGTGCTGAAGTGGGGAGACGAGGTGAGGCTCTGTCATCTTCCTAATGCACGGTATAATGTATATGTGATGGAGAGACACGTGGTTGCGTGTTTAGAGGCAGTGATGCAGATTTGGATGCTGCTTGTGAGCAGGTGGGTTATGACACTTGTTGGACACACTTGATTGGATGCATGATTCTTAAAATGCGTGTGTGTGTGGTCCAAAGGCCAATGTTTACAATCTTGAAATTAGTTTTGTAGACCAGTGAATCTCAACCTTTTGGCGTACCGGACCCCAGTCCGATTCAGAACCATCCTCAAGGACCCCCCAGAACAAAATTGACTCGTATCATTTGTGTCTTTTGTGAGGACCAAATGCAGTCAAGTATAATTCAAGTTAGCTGACTTGTCCAGTATTTGGCCATATCATTTTTCTTTCATGGGAACATGTCAAAATATACAACATTTATACAAAAAATCATACTTTATACGGACCCCCTGGCCTTATGTCAAGGACCACTAGGGGTCCACGGACCCCTGGTTGAGAAACACTGTTGTAGACGAATGCAATTCGTGCTTGTGCGTGAATTTATTGGCCAAACTAAAACTTCACGCTATTTCGATCTGGCTGAGCACGAGCAAGCAGCCAACAAGTGTCCAGCCTACACATCTTCAGTGGTGTTTAAAAATGATCCCAGGGTGAAGTGGGTTGAGACAATGCACAGTGGAAGCTCAAATCTGAGATTTAGTTTTGACTTCACTGCATGTTCTCCCATTTGTATTTTAAATTTTTTTTCCTCCAGTGTTGATTTATTAGAGTTGGTTATTGTCAAAAGTGGGAAATCAGAGTAATAAGGTATTAGTGGGTCCACTGCTGTAGAGTAATGTATGATGCAGCCCAGGCATGTGAAGATCTGCCCACAGTGTTTTTAGTTCACAGATTTTGTGATGACAATGACAAAAATCCCAATTCCAATGGATGGGTGTGCGGTTCGTCATCTTTTAGTGAGCTCTTGCTCTTTTTTTTTTTTTTTTTTTTTTTTTTAGTGTTCTTAAACGTGTGCTAAAATAAACATTTGGAACAATGGCGCCTAAAAGTGTTTTCATGTACAAACTTGCCGTTCATGCAGGATCAACAGGCTGATGTCTATTTCTAAACCTGCTTTGAAATGGCTTTTCATTTCAGTACCTTTGTTCGGCCAGAAGACGTCAATGGATTTATGATAAAACCTGCTGGAATGTTGTTGGTTTAAGTGAATCCTTTGTTCCACATTGGTGGACTCGAAAGGCAAAAAGAATGGAAGCTCGCATCAGTATAGAAATGTCACACTGTGATTTTACTTTCATAATGAGTGTGTTTGGAGAAAAATAATACTGTGCTTTGTCATTGTTGGGTTTGCAAGGCAAATCCACTCTCACATAATATGCATACCACCCTCAGTGAAAGCAACAGTCACTTTTCACTTTCACTTTCACTTTTTACAGAAACTATTGTTATGCTACTTGTGGGTAATGTTTTGTTGCTTTGTGATAAACTGTGTTGTAAAAAAACGTGTCTGAAACATCTTGCAGGTGGAGTACATGTTGGTGGAAATGGATGACAAAAATGAAAAAGTCCGCCTAGTTCTGAACGGGAAGGATGTTTTGGAAATCCTTCAGGAAAAGGGTGAAAAGATCAACCCCAAGTGAGTAACCGTTCTAGTGGGATTTATTGTATGTCACAAAACATTGGTTGAAAAGGTTTTAAAACCAGGTCAGATTTAGCCGTAAGAATATGCATATTCAGGGTTTTGCTACAGGGTCACTGAATAGCAGGGTGAGCTGCAACCGTGTTTAAAAAGGCAACATAAAAAGGGGAATGTGCTTTTGCAATGAGTCCAGAAATGGATTCTAAAACTTCTGACCTTTATTGCACCCATTGTTAATTTTTGTTTTAAAAGTGGGTAACCTGAGCGTAGCTGGTTTGTCCTTTTGTACACTTTAGGGCTGGACTGTCTTGCAGCCAATCCCTCTTTTATGCATGCGTCTAATCAGCCAACAAGATCGATAGTATCTTTGTACCTGTACTTCTTGAATGTTTAAATGACGGCCTCATAAGAGTCAATTGAAGCTGCTAGCTCAGACAGCTAAAGTTTGAGAAGTTATATAGAAGGGAGGAATGGCCTTTTGTCTGAACCGGTCTACACAAGACAAGCCCATCTGAGGCCAAGTGCTACTGATGTTGTGTAGCTGTTGGAGCTCAGGGGAAATTTTAAAAGTAGCATGCAATGGGAAATGAGAGAGCCGTGGCATTCCTCATTGCTGCTTCTCTACTGTACATACTGAAGAGTGTAGTGCCCCCCGTCCCAACACAGCACATGGACATGAAGACTATTGTGTCAGCAGTAGACTGATAGATTGGCCAGACCGGTATTTCCCCATTTTAGGTAGAGATATTATCGGCCGATATGAGCCTGTCGCCGATATATCGTTATCGGCGAATATGCCGCCGATATTAATTTTTTTTTTTTTGCAGAACATATAATGCAGATAAAATGCTTGAAATGGTGTAATTACTTAGTTTGTCCAGCAGAGCACACTCCATTGTTTGCTACTGGCGACCTGGATGAAACGCTTTAAAGCTTAAGTCAATGGAAAACCATTGAACCTTTGAACGGCCATATCTCCGTAACGGCACGGCGAATCCGCACCAAATTCGGGGGATCTCTTCAGCTCAAGGAACCCTCTCGAACGCGAATCGAGTGTACGTCTCGAGGCCCTCTTTCGAATGAGACCACCCCCGCGTGGATAGCCCCCGGGGTTCGGGAGTTACGGGTGGTTAAATTCGCGGTCTGGCGCCGACCGATCTAGCGATCCCGGGGGGCTACCGTCGCGAGGAGGGTGGCGTTCGAGAGGGCTCCTCGAGCTGAAGGGATCCCCCGAATTTGGTGGAGATTCGGGGGATCCGCGAGATATTGACACCAGTCAACACTTTCCCTTCAGTAAGGAAGTTTCTTGTTCAGGCAGCAGCATTCAAGCGTTGTCTTATTCGACAAAAAATGGAAGTGAAATGTGACAACATGCCCCATAGGTGGAACACATTGTAACGTCTGAGGGGCACGTTGTAACTTGATCATATGACAGCTTAAAATCTTATCTGATCGAATGAAAAAAATATACAAGACAAACTAAAATATTTTGTTAATAAATAAATATATATATATATATATCTATATATATATATATATATCTATATTGATATAGATATAGATATATATTTTTTCAAATAAAATAATGGCGTTTTTTAAGAATTAAAAATAATCTGATTTTTGGAGTTTGACAATGAACACATTGCAACCATGCTTGGGACGGCCCACATAAACGAGCAAAAATGCTTTACATGTCTTGAAATAATAATTTCTAAACATTAAACATTGACTGTCAGTCTTTATTCACCTGTTTCTCGTTGTTTCTCATTAAAATTAATTAAAGTAAATAGTGTAAATTACATCGCTAATGTCA